TTACAGTCCAATTTTGCCCCCAAGGCCCGAGTTCACAGAATCCCCCCTTCCCCCAGAGTAAGCCCCAGGTACATTTTTGGGGCTGGTTGCACAAGCAAAAGCCACCTTCGTGTGGAGAGCGAGTGTCCCTGCTCTTCTCCGGGTGGGTGCTCTGCTCCCCTTCCCAGCAGCTGGAGGCTGGCTCAGCAGAGCTGGGGCTGACAGCAGCCAGGGAAGGGAACCGTTCCAAAATCAACCAGAATTTAAAAGTGGACCTACCGGTAGGAAGCCTGTAAAGGCAGTGGGGAGTGGGTTGGGGCACCTGGTACGTGACATCTGCCTGGTGCTTTGTGCAGCCTTTAACGCCCTTTGCAAAGGGCAGGGGGAGCCCAGCCGTGGGCTGGCGGGGTCAAGGACCAAGGTGTCCCTCCACCCTGGGCAGATGGTGATGATACGCTGCAAATGAGCTAAGATAGCTGGAGCCTGATCATTCTGCGGTGCTTGTGTCGTGCCCATTCCCTGGGACCTCTGATTTGCTCTAGTGCATACTGAAGCACTTCCACAGTGACTTGTCTGACACTGAAAGGCATATAAGCATCACCTGGCAAGGTTTTACTAAAAGAACTGCCTGTCTTGCACAGTTGCTGGTTGCCAAAATGCCAGTGGAACAAACTGCCCCCTGTGAGCAGGTGAGAGCCTCTGCAACAACACCCCAGTGCTTCTGCATTTTGTTGCAAGTGGCTTTTCCACTCACGGTTCTTCCCTTCAGAAGGTCAGGACCTAAATCCATGGTGCCGACCACTTTGTTCTGCAGCTGAGAATTCAAAATATTTGTCTCTAGAACCAGCTGTTCTTTTGTTAAACCGGTTTCCGTGCACCCAGTCTACGGAAATCAGCAGCCGGCTTTTGAATGGAAGCGGTGCTCCGTCTTTAACTTTACTATTAAATGCTGATACTATGGGTGTGGGGTTAAAAAAGTACCACAAATTATTAAAATTAGAACCAAAATGCCTGGTAGGCCAGCATGGAAACTGTGGAAAAAAAAGGTCCCCTACACACCTGCAATTTAGGAAATGTAGGAATTGTAGGACCCGGTTGCTGCCGTTCGGGGTTAGGTCTAAGGAAAAAAAGTCAAAGCTTTGAACAAGTCAGGCAGCAGAAAACAGAGAGGGTAAGCACAGCGAAAAGAAGCGAAGAGCAAGTCCCCACAGATCTTCTCCTAGCGCTCGGTTGGGAGGGTGTTGCCCTACGACTCGGTCCCATCGCTGCAGGCACGCAACGCGGTCCCACCTGGGAAGGCGAAAGGCGGTTTCTTACCGTTCCCGGCAGATCCTCTGGCGAGTAACAGGGCAGAAAGCAGCTCAAGGAGGTTTTGCTTTCGCATGTTACCTCGGCGGCGGCGCTCCCACTCGAGGGGTGCTGCAAAAACTTCACCCGAACATTTACATTTCCTGTTTCCTGCCGGGGTGCATCTGAGCCGCATTTCTGCAGGAGATGGACTCTCTTTGATGGGTTTTTAGGAAGTGATGTCATTCTGTCTGGGCCTGTCAAGCGAGCAATGGTTGCAAAAGAAAGAGGAGAGAAAAAAAAAAAAGAGTTGCTCTTCAAGCACTTACTCGACTGAAGCACCTTTACGCTGTAGGTGAGCGCGCTCCTCCTCCCCTCTGCTTTCTCGACTCCCGCCTTCACTACCACCCATCTTCATCCACATGCAGTGTCATGGGATGAACATCACACAAACACAAATCAGACACAGAAGATAATTTCTGTGTGTTGGCAGGAAGGTTTGAGGTTGCTTTTTGGGGATAGTTGAGCGAGCACATTTCAATTGTGCCTCCCCCCTGCCTTGGCTTTTAAGCTCTAATTCTCCCCCCAGCGCGGTGGGATGCTGCGTGCATTTACAAACACCAAGCAGGGTTGTGTCCAGCAAACGGGAAAACTGGCTGGTTTGCTTGGCAGCCTGTAGCTGGGGGGTTTGGGCTGGTTTGAGCCAGGGAAGAGGAAAAAGCAGAAAACCACATTATTTTTTGTTAGGAGCAGGTGGTTTAGCTGGAAAGCCCTCAGATGCCAGTGTGATGATGGCTGTAGGTGACGGGGGACAGAAGGTCTTGAGCCCTGACCAGGATGCAGTTCCTGGTGTGGGTGTCCATGGTGTCACAGTGGAGGTGGCAGGTAACTCCAGCCTCCCTTCCTCCCTCCTCCTGATTTCCCACCCCCCCCTCCCAAGCAGTCTCTAGCTGGGCGTACAGACCCGTGGGGCATGGCTGTGCCCCCCTGTGCCACCCTGGATCTAATCCATACCTGTCCCCAAGCAGGGGGGGTGGCTGCACCATAGGTTTGGTTTGTTCCACTGTACAAACAAGTTCTAGGTCTGAAGTTCATCCCTCTGAGTCCAGGAGAGTCTGCACCCCAGATTTTGGTCTGGAGCATCCCAGGTTTGAGCCATTTTTAATACTTGCATAAAATTTTCTAGTAATAAACTAAGGAAGAAGACATGTATGCTGCCAGTGTAGCAGCTTCCTAGTACTTCCCCTAGACATTAGTCTGTGTTAAAACACAGTTTGTGGTGAATTAGTTGAAGCTGGCAATGGTGAATCTTTCTATTCAGATTGGTGGGAGCTGCTGAAGTGGCCAATTGTTGTCCTGCTTCTGCAGCTAATCATTTCTCTTAACACACTGATGCTTTTATAGGTCATCAGTTATAGTTTCTTAGCTGAAGTAGCTGAGAAATAGGTCAGTGATTCATTTAATGACCAGCTTGTTAGTAGATTCAAAACAGTTGAATGGTTTAGTTAACTGAAAGTCTGAACTGGTTGCTTAGTATTGGCAATGTATGTTTATGCACTTCATAAAACAGTGGGGAAAAAAGCAAAGCAAAGTTACAACATTGCAACTACAGGAAGATAAAGAGGAGCTCAGAGTTATGAAATCACTGAGTGACTAATTAAATATCTCTAGGAGATATTCTTTGATATCATGTTATCCCTACATGACAATACTTACCAGGCAGAAGTGTTAGAGGTGAGACTTGTGAATGCCTTTAAGATTTTCCTGCTAAAAAATTACAGAAGTTCCAAGTATTAGTGTCTAATTGCTATAGATACTTTCAATTATGGAAGTCCAGAAATTGAGGCTACCCAGGCATTTCCTGTGTGCTCAGAGACGCCGCGGCTTTGTCTAGTCTGGCAATGGGAAAACCCACCATCAGCTTTTGGGGCAGCACAGGCAGGACTGTCTGTGTTCTGATGAGCGTGAACTCAGGCCCTAAGGCTGGTACTTTTGTCCAGCCTCAGCTTTTCTTTAGCTTTAGTCAACAGTAGGCAAAGTCATGCTTTTTAACAGTATTTTAATTTAATGCATAAAGGTTCTGTTGCCCTCCTTGCCATTTCTTCCCCAACTCCTTCCCAAGTTTGCCTCCCTCAGTCTTTCCAGTACCCCATGGGCTGCAGACATTTTTTCATGGTTCACCCTGCCCTGCGTTTTTGGCTGTTTTGTCCCATTCTGTAGACTTAGCCCAAGTCACTCATCCCTTGCTAAAGAAAGCCCAGCTACAAAGCCTAGCCTTGCTAGAAAGACTGGAAGGGAAAAGAGGAAAGGGCTTATTGCTTTTATTTTTATCTTTGCTGCATTTTTATCTCCTACAAGACTATATCCTTTCCTCTTCTCCCTTCAAGTCTTTCTATATAGGTTGTGGCATTTCCCACTCAGATTCCCATCAAATATTTTTGACGCACATTTGGTTAACAACTCATCCCTGCCCCTTGAGAGCAAGATAGCCACCCGCTGGTGTTTACACATTTAATGATTTCTAAGACAAATTAAAGTTCAGGAAGCGTGACTTTGTGCCACATATAATTTTAATTAAGACTTTAGAGTGGCATGTAGTTGACTTTTAATTAAAAAAAAATTGTAGAGAAAGAGGAACGAGATATTTTGGATGCTGAGGAACTGGACTGTCATGGACGGGCAGTCACCTTGGTCCATCCCCACTGGTGTTGTGATCTTGCCCCCAGTGGGCTCCCTTTCACCTGCCTGGGAAGCAAGGTTAGCACCTTCACCTCAGTCATTGTCTTCAGCCACTTGCTTCTCTCTTCACAGTAGAAATAGGGAAAGCGAAAGCTATAGTGACAACCTTGCTGGAAAACAAACTTGTGCATTTGGAAACCCAAGTGGCTTCAGTCACAGATGGTTTTTGTAAGAGGGGGAGATTGTATCTGATAATTTCATAGGTCTTAGTGTATTTACTAAGGTCCACAATGCACCTTAGCAAAAAGCAATGTCTTTTCACAGGTGAGACAGACAAGTTTCCTGGGTTATTTCAGCATATGTTACCCAGCTGGAAACATCTGCACATGCTTTCAGTACTGTTTCATCTATTTTTGTTATAGAAGTAATTTCTGACTGCCTAGGCTGTTTGCTAATGTTGTTCCCTCATCAGAGACGTGTTTGCATCACTGAGATTGCAGAATGTCATCAGTGTGACATTTTCAGAAAAACACAAATGTTTTGTAACACTGCAGCCACTTGACTCAGGCTCTTCTTTTTCCTTTTTCCTATGAAAACTACAACAACAACAACAGCAGCTAAACTTTTGAGAGTGATGGAGCAAACTGCTGGTTAGTTACAGGGCTTTACTATAAACTCCTGCGAGTACAGCTTGTCCACCGCAGATGTCAGCAGCTAATGGGCCTGCTCTGAAGTGCAGGCAGGGGCTAGCACCAGTCAAGTTCTGCTAGTCCCTTAATGACTTATTTCTGCCTCTGACATACGTTAGGAAAGGACAGATAAAATTTTCCGACAAGTCACTGTAAAGAACAGGAAATTGCACTGTATTGCAATTCACTGCAACATAAAAAAAAAAAAAAAATCCCCAAAGCAAACAGGGGTTTGCAAAGCCCACAGGGATCTTCCCAAGCTGGCCTGAGCTGCAATGGTGCTTTGTGGGCTGCAGAGATAAGGAAGAGCTGCAGAGGGAAGGCTGAAATCCACAGCATCCCTGTGCAGAAGCCTCATGTGGATCTGGAACTGCATCCACGGGTGCACTTGTTTCAGAGCAAGCTTTGTCTGGGTGAGTTGCAGAAGATAAAACTCTCTCTCCAGTAAACTCACTCAATTCTGGACTATATGAAAAGACAAGTTACATTCTATTTCAGCCACAGAGGTGCTCAAGAAGATGGTTTATACCTTTCTGAAACCAATGTCACCAGTATAAATTAGAACAACGCTTAGAACAATGAGATACTGGCCCTAACTGGGTATCATAAAATAACATAGCTAAAATGAGAGTGACAATAAAAGCATAAAACCAAGTACCTGCCAGTTTTAAGTACCTCTTTGCTTAACTGGGCTTGTAAATTTCTATTTTCCTTTATTGTATTTTTCTTTATTTTCTTCCTTATATGCAACACAGGCCGTTAAATCGTGGGTGTAATGTTTTGGAGACTTCAATAGGAACAGAAAGAAAATACAAAACTATACTTGAAAATATCCATATGTTCATATCTAAGTTCCCTTTCAACAAAATGAAAAATAGATTCAAAGAGGGATTTGTAATATCGAAAAACTCTGAAATGGAGCAGACCACAGGGTGCAGCTAGGGTGCACTAAGGTGCACTTTTGTCAAAGTGTAGCTGGACACTTTGTATCCACTCTTTCTTTAGAAAGCGGTACATGGATTTTAAATTTTGCACATGCCAAAGGCTTCCTAAGTGGTTTGTAACTTGTGTGAAATCCTAAAATAGATGATGCCTGTACGACATTGTAGTACTGACTGTGGTTTGAAATAACTTCCTCGTGTGGGCTCAGCTTTCCCTTGGGCAAAATCCACAGATGATGTCTGGTCAGCAAAGTCATCTTGGCTTTTGACTGCTAGAGAAACACAGCCTTATTATGGGATGTAGGCGGTCCTAAGCAGTGCCTCTGCCTATCCTAGGGCACGGTTTGCCCATGAAATCCTTCACCCGTGATCTACCACGACTCCAACCATTGAAATCCAGGTGGGACTCCACGAGATGTACCTTTGTCTCAATGCAGGCTGGATAAAGGTGGGATGAACACCCCAAAGTACAGCTTCAGGGTTTGTTTTCGGGGAAAGGCTGTGCTTATCTCAGTGCTACCAGCTTCACCTTCCTTACAGCAGATAAATAATAAGGGCTCTGACCCAACTTTGGAAGGTCTGAGTGCTCCTGAGCCCCCGCAGTGGCTCTGCGCCCCCACTGCTGCCCTCTCCTCCCCACAAAACTCTCTGGTTTAACACAGAAAACGAAGGCAGTTGGGCCAGGAGGCTGTGCCCCACTTTATTTCAAAACTATGCAAAGAACCCTCATGAGACATCAAGCCATCAGCATTTTGGACAAAGCAACCAAGGTCTGCACAATGCAATTC